CCCAGTATGGCAGAACATCGTAGCTATCTTCGTCGTTTACTCTGACGTGTAGAACACATGTTATTACACAGCCTGTTACAGAATTCTCATTGGGATCATCTGTGACAAGTAATGATCATAAAAGACTGCTGGAAATGCACAGAGTAAAATCGGCTTAAGGCAAAATAAACATCTTGTCGCTGATGATGCAAAAACATAAATAGAAACAAAAGAAGTTGTCTCATCCTATCCATTTTCTCCGACCAAAACCACACACACACACACACACACACGCACACACACACACCACGTCGCAATTACCACCTCTGAACTCGTAGGCACACAATTCTGAGGAGCACAATTTACACCTGCATTACCACATCATGTTATCACATGACCTGCAAAGCCGATAATGTTTGCAGAGAAGAGGAGAAGGCTTATTAGGCGTATTTCGAAAGCCTGGCAAGTCTAATCATATGTCACAAATTTTACACACGAAGTGGGCTATATTCAACATGTTTAAAAAAAGAGGCAAAATGATTTATTACATAGTGAACTTACTCGAGTAGTATGACGATGGAGGTGGGCGTGGTGCTGTTGTCCTGGTGCAGAATGAGGCATGCAGAGCATTCAAGTGAATGTTTTCCACTCGCTGATATGCAGCACATGATTGTGACAGAATATTGATATTTAGCGTATAGACACTGCTGCAAATAAGTTGCATGCAAACATTTTTTGTTTCTGTGACACTGGATTGGACAGAATGCGTTGTGGTTTTGTGGTAACTACAAGCTGCATTTTCTTTTGGTCTTATTAACTTTAAGAGAGAGAGGCTAGTGAGGGAATGACTGTAGCTGTTATAATGTAAATAACAACAGGAACGTACTCGTTTCATGGATGTTCCGCAACATCAAAAAATCAATGTATAATGAGCCATTGTTTAATTTATAAAAATGTATAAAAAGCACTGGCAAATTGCCGTGTTTGAGGGGAATGAAACACTTCAGCATGTACTATTTGTATATGTACTTTGTGTTTTATTCATTACATTACATAATTACATCAGACACCCAGCCACTCTAACAGTAAATATTGCCATAAAGCAGCTTTACGGGAATCTGAATCTAGCCCTCTAATGAGCAAACCATGTAAAGGGAAACCCCGAGACAGCGTGAGCTAGAAACTCATAAGAGGAACCCATCTTGCACTAGTCGACATCGTGTGGTGAGATTTTACTATTAAGCTTGTTATGAATCCCAGTAGAACTCTGGTTATACAGTAGACGACCAACCAATAGTACTGACGGTGTTCTTCTTTCGGCTGCTTATCATAATAATATACAGGATGTGAGATTTGAGCATATGGGAAGTAAAAGTTATGAGCATATATAAGCATACTGTAACATAAGAGGGGTTTAGATGGCTGCTGACAAATAGCTTTTGACATGAGCTGTTTATGCTGCTAAGGCATTCTAGGAACCGACAACCGCTTGCTACTCGAACTATGATTTGCTTTCGACGTTCAATTTTGTTCACTTTTAGACCTTTTTTTGCACATGCGTTTTCAAATTCAGTATGTGTAAGTCAATATAGGACATGAAGCTGCTGCTGATAAAACCCAAACACAAGTGTTTAAAATGCAAATTTTATGAAATCCAGTTCATGCTGAATTTGTTAGACATTGCAGCCTGTATAATAGGACTTTCACAGCAAACGTGAATGTGTACTTTCCGGGAAAACTGCAAAAGCTGCAAGTTTTTGAAACATGCGAAGCCTGAACATTTCCTGTAAAGGCATACTGATAATGTCCTGGGCTCTGAGCGTTAAAACGCGAGTTGATTCAAAGAAAAGTGGCTTTCTTTGAATCCATATTCTAGCCTGCACTGTAAAAACTTTGGACGAGTTGTAGAGAGCAGTGCAGTAGATTAGCTGCACACCATTTCCCAGAGGAAAAAGGACTGTGGAGGTTCAGGGAAGGAGTGTGATCAGTCTTTAGATAACAAGAGAATATGAGGTTGACTCGGGCATGAGATCAGGGAAAGGAACACAGGGCTCAGTTCAGGAGCTACTTCATTTTGTCTGATGGAGAGAAAGGTGGAGGGGTTGGATGAAGTTGTGGCATGAGAGAGGGAGAGAGAAGGAAGGAGGGTGGCAGTGCGTAACGAATCATTCTGCAGACATCTCTCTGTCCTGCAGGTCATTAATGGGAGATGGATAACGGCAGGAGCTGAAGCTGGCAGCAGGCAGACATGAGGATGTAAAAGAGAGAGAGAGAGAGAGGGAGAGAGAGAGAACGAGAGCAAGAGAGAAGCAGGGAAGGAATTAAGGCTACTATGATTGAATGGAGGAGTGATGAATGAGTTCTCGGTTCAGGAACCAGGCCCTGGAACTCCAAACTGAGATGTAGGCTTATAATGAAACTATAGACAGCCCTGTGGCTGGCGCGCACACACACACACACACACACACACACGCGCACAGTGATTGATAAAGTATAGATTTCTTTCCCTTCTCTCGGATATGATGTTCCTCCCTTAGCTGACAGAATTAATTTCCTCAAAGTATATACTATATATTAGTGCTGAAATAGCAGTAGTGTGAAAGAGACCTTCAAGAAACTTTCGAGATAAAAATTAAACTCTTCTCTCCTGCTGTTTCTGATATGTTTCTTCTTTTGCCATATGATTATTAACACACCGCAAATCAGTGTGTCTTTCATTTGTTCATACTACTTGAATGTATTCCCAGGAATCAATTTGTATTGAAAGTTATGCAGGTTAAGGTTTAAAGGTGGGGTAAGTGTTCGTACTTTTTCTTATGACCAGAACCCAATAACATCACCATCACACTTGTTCTAATTTGTGCAGATTTCCTCATGAGATTGGGTTCCTGTAGCTGGATTGATTGCTTTGTGACCATTTTGTGTAGCACTTAATCCAAGCATGTTTTCAATCTATTCAGTTCAATTCCATTCAATTTTATTTGTATAGGGCTTTTAACAGTGGACATTGTCACCAATCAGCTTTACAGAAATAAATGGATTCAGAAAATATATTGTAAATATGCGAATTCATCCCTAATGAGCAAGCCAGAGGCGACAGTGGCAAGGAAAAACTCCCTGAGACAATAGGTGGAAGAAGCCTCCGCTCCCTCTGCTCCTCCTACAGTCATCTTACACTTACTTTTGGCCAGTCAGTGGATAGTCAGTGGATACTCGGTATATTCTGCCTCACTTATAAGCCACGTTTGAAAAAAGTGTTTGCCAAATGAATAAGTGCAAATGTAAATAGTGTCTGAGTGCAGCCTTCCTAAAGCTCGCTTCATGCCTGTGCTTTAACACTTAAACGTGTGATGTGAGTAACTCATATCTTGGCTATGACACTGAATCATTAGCTCAATTATGCAAATTGGGCTAAAATATTTAGTCATATTAATAATGACTCTGTGTAATAGCACCAGACTGACAGACCTCCATTTTGTTCTGCAAATGCTCTTGCTGGATGACCATCCATTTGTGAACTTGTACGAAAAGTTACAAAAGGTTAAGGCCAGTAGTAGTAGTAGAGCTTCTCTCACAACTATTTCATGACTGCTCTAACAATAAAGCTATACCAAAGTACATTATTTTACTGATTTTACCATTGTACCCATAAATAAAGTCTGTTAATAATATGGTTGGTATATAATGTTGTACGACTTTACATTAGGCAACAGAGCGAGAGAGAGAGAGAGAGATAGAGAGAGAAAGCTCAGCAAGATCACTGAAAGGATGTGCATATCAATGCTGTGTATTAAGCAGGTGCATTAATAGAAAGTCCTTGATGATACCAGCGATTAATCCTACTTCATTAGTGCCAGAGTCCTTGATCCTCTAATTACACATGCTAATTATAAACCCCTCTGTTTCTCACACACCCACATGCATAACCTGAATCTGAAACCCTGCATGTCTCCTGTCAAGGTAGTTATTTAATCTCTAAAATGAAATTAAAATCATTAATAGAATCAGTAAACATTGCTATTAATACACTGATAACACTGATATGCATTTTGCAACTGGGCTGTAACTACGGGCTCTGATTAGTCACCAAAAATTCATTTCATATTCATTGCAGTTATAGTATCATTAAATAAATATGCAAACTGGCTGCTGGAAAAGTCACTGAAATAGATCACTTTAAAATGAGTAACGGAAGAGCTGTACACTCTATGTGCTCAGCATTTCTGAAGCGTACAGAGTCCTCTTTCTATCCCGAAGACTACAAGCCCTTTGGCAGTCTTTTGCAATACCATCCTCCTTTATTTACAGGTAAATACATGATTACGATTTCTGCGTTCTTGACTCTTGCCTTGTTCTGCGACGGCTCTTTTGGATTTGCTCCTTGTCTAGATTCTCTGTTTCAGCATATCTCCCGAGTCCTGTTCATTATATTTATTACACAGAAGTTCAAGAAAAAGTGTACGGTTCACTACCCAATGAGACATGGTTTGAGAATAACATAAAAGAGTTTGGCAGACACAACAGCCACATTGTAAGCATAGTATAGGCCAACATAGTAGGGTAAAATCCTCAGGTCAATAGGAAGAGCTACATGTACCTGAAGGATGAGGGACACTCTTACAGCAATGTACACATTCTGTACAGGACAGACAGCAATGAGGGTTCTATATCAGCAGGAACAACCATGTCAGAACACAAGAGGTGGTCTGCAATGCCACCTATCATCCACTTACAGTGCTGTCCTACCATGATTAATCCACACCTCAAGACCTCAATATTACTCAGTCTCATGACAGAAGAATATTTAAGTGATACATACTGTTTAAATGCCTGAGTAATTTCCTGCTATGCAGTGGAACTCATCAGATGAGTGGCAAAAATTTCTCAAGTTTTACTTTCATGACTATATGAGAAATTTTAAAAAAAAATGCAGTTTAACACACTCTAAAATGTAACCTTGAGCAAGTCAGGATTTGGAAGAAACAGAAAGAGTCCATTTATATAGGTATTCAAGGGTAGGGTCCCTGGAGGACTATTGGTTAGGCCTTGGGGGTTTCACTGCCATGGCCCGGGTTCGATTCCCAGCCAGGGAACCAACCCCAGCCACTGGGGTTGCACACGACCACCAAGAAGTGCACTCCCATTTGCTGGCCCCAAGCCCGGATAAAATTGGGGAGGGTTGCTTCAGGAAGGGTATCCGGGGTAAAAAACTGCGCCAAATCATATATGCGGATGCCAAATCAATGATCCGCTGTGGCGACCCCTAACAGGAGTATCCGAAAGAAGACCAGCATAGGTATTCAAGGGTGTTTTCCATTGCACATTCAAAACCAAGAATTAGTTCTAGGGGTTTTAGTTATAATGCATTTTCTGCCAACTTAAAAGAGACATCTTGGACAGGTACAGTCATAATAGCAAAAGTGACCACATTATGATTTGAATTTCAAGTGATTATTGACAAAAATAATCTAATGTCATTTCAAAGCACTCAACACATCCATCAAGTCCATATGATCAGAAAATGGAAGTATTTATATTTGTGTCTGCTGTGAAAAATCATTGGCTGCGCTGTTAATGAAATATTTGATTGAAACACAACGTTGCACCAGCAGTGAACCAGACTATTCTCACAACAAATAAATGCCCTTCACTACATCACGCCAGGGTAAAGTGAACCAGGTGAACCAGGCATTAGCATTGCTATTATTACAGTTATTAAAGTTTTTCTTTGTGTGATTGCTCAAGCGATCTCTCTGTTTAGCCCTAAGCAGGATAATAAAAGACTTACGTAATACCAGCGAGGCTTCCTTCCTACCGTAACACACTGAATCTCATGGAACACCTTGGCTACGATTTATTTTGGCTTTCCTTTCCTATTCTTGTTTCTGCTCCATTCTTGATCACCCCTTGCTCCACAGCCCTCACCTTCTGGAGAAGAAGGAAAGCATAGAAGAAATGAACACAAGCCTTATTTTTAATTCAGGGATGGAAAAAAAGGACACCTGCTGAATGTAGATGGGGCCTGCTGACTTAATGGATTCACAGTGCATGTGTAATTCACAAGACAGTGTAAAAGGGAACGAGAGAAAAGTAGGAGATGAAAGAGAAAGCTGTGCAGACAGATAATAGGAGTGAGAAAGAATGGAGAGAGTTACAGAGAGAGAGAGAGAGAGAGAGAGAGAGAGAGAGAGAGAGACCGTTTGCGTGTGTGTGTGAATGTGAGAGAGAGAAAGAACATACCAAATGCTTCAAAATGAGTCCCAGATTAAGGAAAGGAACAGAATGTGTTTTGGCCAGTTGTCCTGCCTGGCACTGAATCATTGTGATCATCATTATAGATTACATTCACTTTATGGCCACTTTATTAGGAACACCATCCTTGTACTGAGTAGGTGACCCCTTTGCTCTCAGAACAGCCTCAATTCTTCATGGCATGGATTCCACAAGGCGTTGGAAACATTCCTTTGAGATTCTGGTCCATGTTGACATCACAGATTAGTCAGCTCCGAATCTCCTATTCTACCACATCGACCAAAGGGGTCTATTGGATTGGGGAGGCTACTGAAGTGCACTGAACTCATTGTCATATTCATGGACCCAGGTTGAAATGACTTGTGCTTTGTGCTGGTCCATGATCATGCTGAAAGTAAATATTAAAAGATATAAAGTAAATTGTGGCCCTAAAGTGATGCACATGCTCAGAAACAATACTCAGATAAGCTGTAGCATTCAAATGATGCTCAGTTGGTATTAAGGCGCCCGGTGTGTGTGTCAAGAAAACATTCCCCACACTATTACACCACCGTTATCAGAATAAACTGTTGACACAAGACAGACTGGATCCATGGATTCATTCTGTTGACAGTAAATTCTGACATCTTGTGCAGTCCGGGATGCTTTTCTGCTCACCATGGTTGTAAAGAGTGGTTATTTGAGTCATAGTAGGCTTCCTGTACGTTTGAACCTCTCTGGCCACCTCTCCCATCAACACATTTTTTTCCCCATTCTGATGTTTGATCATGTTTCTGCATGATTTTATGCATTGTGCTGCTGCCACATGATTGGCCGGCTGGATAAACTGCATGAAGGTGCAGGTGGCTAGTGAGTGTATATTATAATTACAGAACATGTTGGTGAATTATCGAATAACTCTGCAGCATGGATATATTTTAGAGATACGAATACATTAGTTAGAGATTATCATCACCTCTGCTAAGCATGTGCGTATGCCAAATGACTTACTGATCCAGAGGGTCTCTGGGTGGACATGTCCACTCTTGCCTCTTTCTCCCTCTCTTTCCCGTCCACTTTTCATATGCAGTGAGAATATGTATATCATCCTGAACTCCTTTCAATCCAGCCACAAAAAAGGCTTTCAAATTCAAATAGTACCATGACAAGCTATTTTGCCTAACAATTGGCAGTATTTTCTCGTCCATTTAGTAGATGAATCATTCAAAAAAAAAAAGAGAGAGAGGACAGGCAGAGGGAGAGAAGGAGAAAGAGGGGGGGAAAGTGTAATGTGCCACTGTGTATTGTACAGTGCTCTTGTTCAGATTTTGACAGCATGACCCAAACTTCCCAGGCCAGCCTCTCTGGAGCAGAAAGTGTGTCCGGTCTTGTTAGGAAGCGTGACGTTTGTGTGTGTGTGTGTGTGTGTGTGTGTGTGTTGTGGTGTGTATGGTTTCCAGCTCCCCTTACTGTACATAGCTTAAGCAAAAAAGCAACAGTTCTCTCTTCAGCTAATTTTCACACACTGTACCATGATTAGGCTTACGTTTCTCTTGGTGCACGTGTGAAATATTCTCAGTTAATGCACGTTACTTTTACTTAAAAGCTCAATGTAAAAGCTTCCATAAGGAGTAATATGTTTATTGTCCGTAAAAGCTTCTCTGGTCAAAATCAAGCTCACCTGTAGCAGCCACCAGTGACATGAGCTTAAAATAGAGAACTGAAAAAACAAGGCTGTTGTTAATGAAACACTGTCTCCACGTTACCATGGCTACCACACGGCTTCACCTCTATGTCCAGCCTGAACTCATTGTTTAAACTATATTCATAGTGTGCTTAATTCATGGGTTTCTGTCTCTCTCTCTCTCTCTCTCTCTCTCTCTCTCATGCATGCACACACACACACAGACTTCTCTACTCTCTAGCTGTGAGGCACACTCATTATCACACACCCACATATACACAGAATAATGGTGGTCAGAGGTAACTGCACTTCCAGCGTAAGCAGTGCCATTGCCATGACAACTCTGAATATATCCATTAGTTTTCATTAGTACTATGATAACACTCCTTCTCTTTACTCCTTTACTCTCTCTCTCTCTCTCTCTCTCTCTCTCTCTCCCATCTTTCTCTGATAGACTGCAGAAAAGAAGCCAACATCACGCTATCATAGATACAAACCCAGAAAGCTGGTTGTTTCAAATTGTTGTGTGTTTTGCACGCGTCCTAAAACATTTTTTTTTTCTTACAAGCGGTCAAATTGCAGAAAGAAAATCAAAGGGGATGCGGGTTCTATTCACAGAGAGACTGAGAATTTTACGTCTAGCTCTGTAAAATGGAAATATGACAATAAAACGCTCTGGACCAATTTCACAAAGAAAATAGAGCTAAGCGTAATTTTCCATTTGCAGTCGGCATTTCTCAGGCAAAGAAAAGGTGCGCCGCGTTACGATTGGTTTGCTTGATTTGAAAGTGTGTCATATTCAGCTATTTTAGCCAGTTCATTTTTCTCCTTCTGCAGAGTGAGAAGTAACAACTGACATGTTGAAAGTAGGATACCTTGCTTTGAGATGTAGCGGAGTAAAACTCTAAAGGTCTGCAAAAATGGAAATACTTTAATAAAGTACAGATGCTTAAAAAAAAAAAAAAGTCATCACTGTCCACTACCGGTCAGCGGTGCAACAGCAATGCACTTTCTAACCAAGTGTAAAACATTCAAATACGTATGCAAAATACTGTGTGCTTTTAGGAATATCAGCTCACACACTTCATATTCTCCCGTCTGAGCAACACTGTCAAACTGCCCATCCTGTTACGAGAAATAAAAGGAGAACAGCACTTTAGCAGGATAGTATGTGTCTGCTTGCCACATTATCTTTCTTTTTTACACTGTATTGTGAATCCATCATGCATTCACACACACACACACACACACACACACACACACACACACACACACACACACACATCCCTGTTTGTTATTTCCCTGGTTTTATTTTACGATTATTATTATTATTATTGTTGTTGTTGTTGTTGTTATTGTTATGGTCACTATGATTAATATTAATTACTGTTCTCTAATTTCCATTCCTCTATTCTTCCCTTGCACAGTCTTTACCTACGTAGTCATGCCAGTAAAGCTTACTGAACTGAAAAAAAGTGATAACAATTATCCAACAAAGATGAAAAATGGGATGACAGTTTTATGAGGAGGATTTTTTTTAATGTAAACAAAAGTACCACATTTTTAATTAAGGTATGTCCTGCTTCTCTCTCTCTCTCTCTCTCTCTCTCTATCTCTCTATCTGTGTGTGTGTGTGTCACTCTTTGTTCCACAGTTTCTTCTTTCTTTCTTTTTTCCTCTCTCCTGTTCTTGCGATGATATTATGTATGAGTGTTCACCCCTACTGTGGCTGGGATTGAATGCCTTTAGCCGTTATTGGGTTGTGTTGATGAGGGGCCTCATTGTGGCTTCATCATACATCCTGGCAGGGGTCTAAGCGGAGATAAAACGCGATGAGTTTTTACGTATCGCACGCACTCTCACATCCACATGCACTCATCGTCATTGTCAACATTACAACTGTCGTACAGTCACACTGTTGCTTTCGCCACTGCTTGTTTTTGCTATCACTGTCATCATGTAAACTTATCCTCATTCATCCCTCATTCTCATACCTTTTGTACTCTAGAGACAAAAAGCATTAGAGAAGACTATTTATAGACAGAATATTTTATATACAAAATGAAGTGGGATTAAAATGGAGACCATACATTGTAGGCTCATTGTGTACACATCCTGTCAGCTAAATCTTTCTCCTGTATTCTCTAATAACACAGCCTATAAGACTACAGAAAATCT